TACTGGGTCACAAGAGAAAGCAGGAGACACCTTTGCTGGAGTAGTATAGGCAAGTCAGCAGGATAGGACCCACAAGGTGCTCTCCGTGGCTACAAGGGATACCGACCAAAACCTGCTCCTGACCACCAAGGACACCAAGAGCAGAGCACCTCCCAGCCAATGACCCCAAGCCCCCATCAAATAGCATTTAGCTCCCAAACCCATGATTCCTTTCCCTTTCATGGCAGCCATGGAAAAAAAGGCAAGAGGCTCCCCTCTGTTCAGCTCTCCTAGATCTCACACAAGTAATCTAGCCTGTGTTTTGATTCAAAACAAAGAAACTTTTAAAAAACATTTCAGTTGAAACTTGCATAATTCTTCCAAAGTAGAAACCTTCCCTCAACTTTCGCAATCCTTAGAAAGAGACACTATTGCACAGAATCCAGCCCCAGCCACGGCTACCTCACCTCCTGCCAGACGGCAGGGGCAGGCCAGCCCCTGAACCGCAGCCTCCCTCCTGGGGCTGCAGAGACAGCAACTCGGAACGCACCCCCCCCGGGGGGGGGGGGCACCCGGCTCCAGGGCAGGGCTGGGTTCACACTTGGCCCAGACTTCCTCACCCTCTACATCCTGTCTGCCCTTAGACACTTCAGACAGACATTACACAAACTGACTGCAGGAGAGGTTGAGAAACGCTGAGACAGAGTCAATGACCTTACTCCTGGAAGCTTCTTGATGACCCAGGGCCTCCAGTGGGCAGCCAGGGACAGAGGTGAGGGCTACTCAATGACCCTGCTTCCTCCAGATGGGGAGGGACCCAGATGGCTCCCAGAGGAGCCCCAGAAAGTGGCAGGATAGATGGACAGATAGGCTATGCTAAGAGAACTTGGCCTTCTCAGAGATGGATGTGCACCAATAGTCATTACTGCCCCCACCCACAGCTGGCTATGGTATGTGTAGAACCTAGAGCCCACTCTCAAGCTGCTATCCTACCCTATTAAGACCCACTGGCCTTGGACTGGAACCACCACCTTGGCAACCATCCCAAAGAGCCCCCTCCTGGACCAAGGCCTGACTTCAGGACCTGGCACCCCACCTACTTGGCCCAAGTGTCCAGAGGGGAAAAATCAATAGTAACTCTAAGAAAGCCCAGCACAGGACATGATCCCAGAGAACATTCTTCAAAACGATGCCAGTGGGCAAAGGGCAGCTGATATTTGGAAGAACACCCAGACCTGCAGGTGTCCAGGAGACAGGGTCCCAGCATACTGACATTGTCCTCTCCTATAGCAATCTTCACATAAGAACAAACCACAGCTGACCATGGTGGTACACAAATGTGATCCCACCACACAAAAGGCAAGACCCTATCCCAAGAAAACAAAAGAGCAAACCACAATCCACTGAGACAACTCCTGAACCCAGCACCCAGCTCTGCACCCAGAAACTATAAACATGTCCCAAAACATACCCAGAGCTCAGTGTCCCCTAAAGCTGACCACCTGGCTAGGTGTCCAGTTTAGAAACATGACCTCTGGGCAGGGGTGGCGTGCGCCTTTAATCCCAGCACCTGGGAAACAGAGACAGATGGCTCTCGGAGTTCAAGGCCAGCCTGGTCTACAGAGCTAGTTCTAGGACAGCCAGGGTTACACACAGAAACCCTGTCTTGGGGCGGGGAGGAGGAGGGAGTAGCCAAGAAACATGACCTCAGTCCTATTATCCCACTATGAGGAATCCCAACAGTCCACATAGAGTGACTGTATCAGCTGATAGAATAAAGTCCTAAGAATCCAGGCTCAGGAGAGGACAGAGATGCAGTAACCTAAGATAACACAAGCTCCTCCACACCAAAGCCCACTTCTCAGACCCACAGATGGGTCCTGCTATGTTCAGAAGGAGACACTGCAGCACCTGTGGCCAACCTGGAAAGGCAGCTGCTCATGGTCACAAATCGTCCTATGGACCAGCAGCCACATCACACAAAACACACAGAGTAGCAGCTCAAAGTACCACTGTCCATTTTCCTTTTTATGCTGATAGACTGAACTCTGTGGAAGTCCAACAGCTACCAGACAACCCAAGAGGAAGAGAGAACTGTCATGGCATCTGCTTGATGGAAGGGAAGACTCAGAGGTTTCCATTCATCTGAACTGCCTCCAGAAACATGAATCTAAGACAGGTTCAACCAAGTGTTAGTCTCAATTTACATGAGGAAAGTGAGGCACGGGGGCTTAAGCTCACACAGCCGGTGAAGAATGGAGCGGGAATGTGAGACCAATGCCCTGAGGCCCCACAGAACTGGCTCCCCATTGATCTGCAAGGAAAGTAGCCAAGGGGGTCCCTCCGGACGCCAGACTCACTGAGCATCCATAGGCACCCTGCATTTTCTCCAAAGCTTTACCAGGGGGAAGCTGGGCCTGATAGTGACACAAGAGAGAAGTGGACATTTCCCATTTCCCCACGACATTAGGAGGACATTGCAGAAGACCTCCACCAGCCCTCATCGTCATAGCAGCGCTGGCACGCCAAGGCCTGGGGTAGAGTGGCCTGGACCAAGGTTTTCAGGCTCAAAGCTGAAACTCTCCTACTCCCACACACACTCAGCTGACCACAGAAACCACAACTCCACCTCAACCAGGCCAAATCCACCTGATCCAAGCAGACCCTACTTCAGTCAGAGAGAAGCCACCTGAGTCAGGCTGCCATAGAGCACAGCAGCCACATGTCATCAGAGCACCAAGAACTCAGGAAAACCACTGACCTCTACACCTTCCCACAAAGCATTCAGCTCACCTTTAGTTCAAGAGAGGCCAAAGGTCTGTCAAAAGCTACTTGCCCTGCAAAACACTTCCAGCACATTCTTTGTTCCTTGTTCCCTCCTCCTCAGCAGATCAAAAATATTAAAATAATCTATGAAGAGAGTAAGGGAATCATACAGTCCAGTGAATGAGTGCAGGCATCCAGGCCACTCCTCAGGACAAACTAAGTCTGGGCAGCCATGGGTCCATAACTACCCAGACTGACATCCCCTTCCTGGGTGTTACCTATGATTCACGCAGATAAGCACATGTCCGTCCAAAGGGGACTAAAAGAGCACTGTCCAGCCCAAACCCTCAGCTACACACTCACAGAGTCAAGGGAGTACCAACACTTAATGGCTGAGCTGGGGTCACTCAGAGGCTGGGTGCACCCCACAAAGAAGAAACAGTCTACCAGTCCCTCATCATGTAAGCACTCAGGAGCTGGCCAAAGTGTAAAAACTCAAGATGATGCCACCACTGCCCAGTGGAGCTAGAGACACAAATCACTTGAGAAATTTCTTCACTCGGTAAATGAGGCATCAGAGCACCGCCAGGGTGGCTACCAAGGGAAAGGCAGCTGCGAACCATAGCGGAAATGACCCAAGCACATGACCATGGCTCAGTGCACTACCCTGTCTTCTAACCCCTTGGTGCTGGCACAGGCATCTGAGCCATCTCCTAGGAGCCCAAAGACCCTGATACCCAGAACCACCAGACTTGTAAGCAGAGAAGGCTGGAGCCTAGCCTAATTCAGCAGTGGCTGGGACAAAGGGACCATGCCAGTCCCCTAAACCTAGACGGAAAGACCACAAACACACATGACCCAGAGCAGACAAACACAAACACAGACACACCCAACTCAGACAAGATTCCTTGCCTGCTCCCAAGATAAGAGGTGTGAAAGCTTCCCAGCAGCACAGCCTGACAGTCCCACATCTCTACAGTGGTCCTAGCAAGTCCACTAGTCACCATACATATGACTACCTCAGACCACATTAGCTGACAAGGACACAGACATCCCAGACGGACAGGCCTCTGCCATATCAGCCTGTCTATTGCCAAGCCCATTTGAAAAGAGCTCCTGCAACCTCCCCCAAAGAGGCACTGCCCTGGCTGGGGCAGAAGTGCCACACAACACACAACAGCACATGCACACTCTGCAAGCCCTAGAGAATGAGGCAACGGTCCCCTTCTTCAGAGCCCCTTCCCCCCACAACTCTGACACTCTGCTGGAGGGGCGCCCAGAGAAAACCGGGCTGCAGCATCTATTCACAGATTTAGAAAAAAAAAAAAAAAGTTTGATGCAATAGCTGAATTAATTAGGTCTCCCAAGAATAGCTGAGCCAATGCAGCATTCTGTGTGCAATTTAATAAGCATGGATATTTAAAAGTTACAGATACTTAGGATGCATATGCAAAGAAACTTCCTATGGACACCAGTGAAAGGTTCAGGTACTAAGTGGCCCAGGAAATGCCCAAGAAGATCCCATAAAGCCTTTGACTCACATACACCACAGTCTGGGCTGACATGCCTCCATACCAAGTTCAAGAGCAACAGAAGGAAATGGGTGAGTCCAAATAAACTGCAGACCATCAGCAACTCCGAGAGGCAGGACTTGGCTACCACTGACCGGGCCAAATGCCCCTCAAGGTGCACAAACGGAGATCCTAGGGGCTGCAAGTGCCAAGTCTCCGCCAAGACAACTAGCTAGCTTCAACAATTTAAAGACAAAACAAGAGAGCCAATAAGCATACAAGGCTAATCAGCTGGGGACCACGAGAAGACATCCCTGTCATCAGAAAGGAAGGGGGAAAACTTCATTCTCATCTAAACATCTCTGCCAAGGTCCCATGGAGATCTGAGCCAGAAAGTCACAGCCTGGGTCCAGGCAGTAAAACCTCTCAGAACTTGAGGTAGTAACCTCTTTCTCGGACCTTTAGCGCTTAGCCTATGTGGTCAAGGGTTATGTGCCCTGAGAGAACTTTTCTATTCACTCTACTCCATGAGTACAGTGCCCACACAGCACGAAGGAGGCCTTACAGCCTTACCCACAGGAGACTGACAAGGCCCCTAATTTCCTGAAATCAAAACAACCCAAGGCCAGATAAGGTCGAACCAGGAGCCTTAACCTTTAGAACCCAGAATGCCCAGCCCAGGAGGACCGCCCCCTCCCCTTCTTGGGCATGGTTTGCCAACCCCCAAGACCTGGGAACACTTACCCGGGGCACCCTCCGCTTGTACTTGTTGGCATAGTCGAACTTCTCCTTCACGTCGTCCAGGCAGCGGCCAAGGCGGGCCTGCTCCTCCTTGCCTGTGTAGTCCTGGCTCAGCAGGATGTAGGCCCGCCAGTTGGCTGAGTCGAAGCCCCAGTGGCAGGTCCGGTTCTCCAGGGCCTTGTGCGAGTGTACCACGAACTTGTGCGGCGGGTACATGAGGCGGCAGTCGAGGCACTGGATGCAGGCGGCGCTAGGGCTGCTGTACAGCTCGGGCACCAGCAGCCCCTTGCACTTGCCGAAGCACTCGTGGTACACGCGGACGCTGCGCTCGCTGAGCTCCAGGCCCAGCGCCAAGCTGGCCGCCAGCTCCTTCTTGCAAGGCGGCGGATAGGCGCCGCCGTAGAGCAGCGCGTTGCACAGGCGCTCGGCGTCCGTCTTGGTGATGAGCCCGCACGAGGGCGCGGAGAAGGGCAGGATGCCCATGACTTTGAGGATCTCCAGCTGGTCGGCGGTGCAGCGTGAGCAATAGATGTGCAGCTC